CCCCCCCGCCAGAGTGAGGGAAGGGAGCCATGAGGGTGGGAGAGCCAGAGCAGGGATATTCTGATGAGACACACACTCTCAGCTCTCCCCTGGCCTGGAAGAGAGGGCCAGGAGTAACCACCAGCAAAGCAAGAGTGAGGTGGGGGCAGCAGCTGTCACAGGGCTTGCTTCTGCATGAATGAGCAAATAGTTGTAATACGTGTGGAAGAATACACCCTCCCATTCACATCACTGGAAGGAGGATCGGGGGGACGGACTTTCCCTTTCTATATGACATTAAACCCAAAATGTTATAAAAACATAATGAACATGCAAATATGTTGGTAATTACAAAAATAATAATAATAATTTTTTTTTAAATCCACCCTAGGAAGGGCCAGACATCACTTAACAAAAAGCTGAGGTGGGAGGTGAAGGCAGGGAGGCCTTGGGCATGAAGCAAAGGACCTTGGCCCAGGATCCCAGGATCAGGTTCCAGTGCCATGTCCCTGCCTTCCTTCCTTAAGAGTTTGGGTGAATTGCTTCCTCCCTCTCAGCCTCAGTTTCCACGTCTGTAAACAGGGGAGGAAGGCCACTGCTTGAGCTTCCCCAAATGATCAAAGGAGATCACTGATAAAGGTGCGTTTCCCAAATTATAAAGCTGCTATGATTAGGGAACACGCTCTGGGACACACACTCAGCCAAGTGCCTTTCCCTCTATCTGCGTGGAGATGAGGTGCTGATATTACCCGCTTTCTGTCGATGATGAAACTGGGCTCACAGAGGTGCAGTGACCGGTCCGCAGTCACTCACAGGGCCTGAGAGGATAAAGTGTTGGTCCTAACCAGGGCACTTCCTGCCTTTAGGGGCTGTTTTCCAAAGTGCAGGATGACAAACCCCAGTCCCCAAAGAGGTCCATCCGCATGACCAAGTAAGCGTGGGGGAACATGACCTGCCGGCTCCCTCTCAGAGACTCGTCACGCTCGGTCAGTGCGCTCAAGGCCCCGAGAAGGCCTGTAGCAAAGACAGGAAGTTGCCATTTCCCACTGTGGCCAGAGAAAACCGGCGCTCCATGGAACACACCTTGGGAAGTGCGGCCATGAGACAGCACCCACAACCACCCGGCTTGGCAAGGTCTGGGCCGAAGGCGAGAAAACAAAGAGGGCAGCAATGAAACTTCACATTGGCGTTCGAAGCGCACGGCAAACAGATCCTACTGAGCTGGCCACTGAGTCGGGAGGAGCAGGAAGGGTTCTCCCTTCTGCCACCTCTGCCCTAGACCTACAGGGAGAAGAGCAAAGGACTGCAGAGACGGAGGAGACACTGCCCTTTGCTCCCCAGGCTGGGGATGGCACCCAGGCAGAGGCCGTGGCTGGCCTGAGGGAGAGGGCTCAGTCCTTACCCCGGGGACGGCTCTGCTATCTGCGTGCTGGCTGTCGGTGCTGAGGCTGGCCCGCTTCTGTCTGGGCAGGGTCCTGGCATTTCTTTCGTTCCATGGAAGCTGCCTCCCTACGAGGAAGCAAGAGCTACTGTCAGCAGGGATGTGTGTGACTATCAGAGTTACCTGCTGTGCTGCCAACATTTTTTGAGTGCCTGCTTGGTGCCAGGCCCTCAGCTGGGTTCTGGGGTGACAACAGAGAATCAGACAGTCTACTGGGGGAGATGCCAAGCCAACAGTTACAACTGGCTCTTGAGGGCCCAGGGCTCTGCTGCGGGGAACCCAGAAGCTGTGGGACCATGGAAGAGACACCAGACCCACACTGCTGGGGTCAGGGAAGGCTCCCTGGAGAAGGCGTTACCTGAGCTGACTGCTGAGGAAGAAGAGGAGTTGGAGAAAGAGCATTCCAGGCAGAGAGGAACAACACATGTTTGCCTGGAGGGGAGAGAACATGGCATCTAGAGAATGTTCAGTGATTCAACCTGGCTAGATCCAGGGCCGGAGGTGGCTGTGGAGAGAGATGAGCTACTGTGGCCTGAGCTAGGTCCGGGCAAAGACAAATCCTCAGCCTAGACACATAACTTCAACTCAGACTCAAAAGCCAACCATTGTCTATTAGTCAAGAAGCACTTAGGGAGCATCGACTACCTGCCAGCACTCCGCTCAGAAATATCCACAAAAGTGAGCAAGACAAGTTAGTAGCGTGGGGACAGAAGGGCACTCAGACTACAGCAGGGGTAGAGGGAGCATCTAAATCCAGCAGGAGCTGGGAGCATGGCCCAGTCATCAGGGAAGGCCAAAGGATGAGCAGGAGTTAGCGGGCGGGGGTGGGGGGCCCGGGGGCAGGGGTGAATACAAGCAGACAAAGGAACTTGAAAGATTCTAGGCCTGCTTGTGGAGCCTTTAAACCACTTATGCAAAGGGGCACTATCACACCTACTCAGTGCTAGGCACTGTGCTGGAAGGAAAGAAGCAGAAGACAGGCGCCATCTCACAGGGAGACAATCACCTGGCAATCCCACACTAGGTGATGGCAATGACGCAGAAAAGCACCTAGAGCTGTGAAGCCACAGTGCCGCCTAAGCTGGCCTCTACCCCTGCCCTGCCCTCCTCGGCGAGAATGGGGATACCCACTAGGCAATCTAGTCACATGCCTGTGGCAGATCCAGGACCCAAACTCCGGCCTCTGGACTCCTTGTAACGGATTCATCTACTTCTTCTTCTAGGAAACACACAGTGACCAGCCCCTCCATAGTCACTCAGAGCTAACATCTCTTTTCTTGGGGCTGCCTCTGTAATGTTTCTATCACTAAGCCGTATCAGTGCTTTCCTGTCTGCCTCTCCTCCAAGACTGCCGCTCAGGAGGCCAGGAACTGCGTTCCCCGAGCACCATTTCTGAACCAGGCCAGACACTTACTAACGGAAGGCTGAGTGAACACAGGAGCCACGGGGGGAGAGAGAGTGTGCTGGGCTCTAGGGTTCCACATCCACCAGACCTGACACCTCATGAGGCCGTAGACTAATTGCCTGTGCCTCGGAGTCCCCATGTAAAAACCTGGAATCATCTCCACTCTCAAGAGTCAGAAATCAGGCTGATTCCTTCCCTCCAACTCTTACCAGCGATGTCCAGGCCAGGCCAGAAGCCACCCAATGCCCAGCCATGTCCCTGAGTTCTGACCTACTGGGGTAACCCTCAGGAGCCCCACTGTCCAGCAAGGCCTCTCAAAGTCTGCAAAGGAAACCGTTTCCTCCTGGGTGTGCCCATGGGACGGAGCACAAAAGCACCTGATTGAGTTCTGGCGGGGGAGTCATAACATTTCTCAAGCCCCTGCTCTATGTCCAACAGACCCCGGAAGGCACAGGGGCACTAGACCCAACCCCTAAGAATCTCTAAAACTAGGAAGACAGGGAGGCACAGGCCATGTTATTCATGCCCTAGCATCTCTCCAAAACCCAGTCCTCAGCATAAGTCATCTGCCCTTGCCTCCCCGGTGAGCCAGAGGAAGACGTGACCTTCACCAAGGCAATGCCGATGTGAATGAACCACAGCCACTGCCCAGTCTCCCTGAACAAACTCCCACTCCATCCCCTCCACAAGGAAGGGTCACCAACAGCTGACCTCCCCTTTCTGCCTCCAGTCTGTCTGTCTGCCAGTCTGTCTGCTCCAGTGGGCAGGATACAGTTGGGCAGGGGTTACATGGACTCCTCCTAATGGAAAAGGTGGGAGAGGCCCTTGGGAGGCTTTCAGCTTCTTCAAAATCTTCTTCCACAAGTTAAGCCCAAATTCCCTTTCCCCCACCAAGCGCTCTCCCTCCTCATCCTCACAGCTCATCCTCCAAATGCTTCCTGGGGTAGGGCAGGGAAGAGAAAGGGAAGAGGCAGGTCAGGGGAATGTGGTCACCAAAGGACGGCCCCACCCTTTCAGCGAAGTCCCCACCAGGAGGAGGCTGTGGACACTCCCCACCCCACCCCCCGCCCCCCCAGCCATCTCTCCTCCTTTCCAAAAAAGGCAGCAGTTGCATCAGCTGAGAACCAGTCGGATCTTGGTTCACCCCCGTCCAAATCAAGGGGGAAAAGGAGTCAACAAAAGGAGCAGAATCATCATGAACCACAAGGATCCGAGGCACTGTTTCCCCAGCCTGGGAGCCAACTCTGCTGGATCTCCAGCTCACCCGTAGCGGTACCAGCCCGGACCTAATCAGACTTGGCCCTGAGGCCCCAGACCCAGGACCAGTCTTCCCGGGGACCCCAGCCCAGACAGGCCCCAAGAGCCTACCCCGGGACCCTGCCCCCAAGTCGGGGCACTGCTCCCGCCAGATCAATAAGAGGGAGGGGCCCAAAGGGAAAGGAGGGGCCGAGAGCCCAGAAGAAGGGAGCAGGGGGGAACCTTTGAAAATGAAAAAGAGCTGGTAAAGAGAGAGCCCAGAAGTGGAACCTCTACGAAGGGGGCAGTGTGTGCAGGAGTGAGGATCAGGGGGAACCCAGGGGATGACAAGGGGACCTGGGGGAGCCAAAGCGGAAACTCCCAGTAGTGGAGCGCAGGGGAGGCACGGGGTGCCTGGGAGGGGGCTCGCGCGCCGCGGCGCCGGGGACAGGGTGCGATCCCAGAGACCCGAGGGACGGGGGAGACTGGACACAGGCAGAACTGAACTGCCGCGGGAGGCCCCAGGGAGCCGGCCCCAGTGGGCAGGGCCGGAGCTGCAGGAGCGCCCGGAGCCCGGCAGCTGGTCGGGGACGTGTATAAGTGGGTTTCGAGAGGTGACAGCTCGCGCCCCTTTCCCCACCCCACCCACTCACCTGGGCCCGCCGCGTCCGGCCGCCCACCAGGCGGCCCCTGAGCCCCCGCCGCTCAGTCCCGCCACCGGCCGCTGCGCCCCTCCGGCGCCTCCTTTTGTTTGTCCCTCACTGCACCACTCAGCCTTCTCCGCCCCGGAAGTGACGTCACCCTAAGGCGCGAAGGCGGTGGCCTGGGCGTCGCCATCTTTTTGAGAGGAACTGTCTTACCACTCTCAACCCCTCCTCTCCCTGCTGACGCCATGTTGTTTGGGGGCGGAAGTAGCGGAGCCCGGGCTTGGCCCCTTTAAAGGGACAGGACCGGTTCTAACCTTCGGGAAGACCTTGGTGACAGTGTGAAGCGGCGGAGGCAGAGGTGAGTAATCGAGCGGCCGAGCGTTGCTGCCCCGAGGTTTTAAGTGCCGAGGTTTGGTAACCGGTTCTGAGCTGGATTGTGCCAAAATACTTGCACCATTTGGTGGTGGTGTGATAGCAGAAGGGATGCCGGAAAGGTTCTCCCAGCTAGAAGCCGCCCGCGAAAATAAGTAGCGCGCGCCTCTCGCTGACCCACGGTCTAACACTGGTCCCCGTCTGGCTGGTCCTACCTGCACCCACATCCCCGCTCAATCCACCCGAATACCACTGTAGTACCTGTAGGGATGATGGAGCCCAAGGTAGTTCGGTAAATTCTGGTTAGAGCCGGGGCTGGAACCGGGTCCCGGACTCCATCTCCTCAGCCGTGAGGATCTCGAGTCCTCGGAGTTCCCAGACTGCTCATGGTAACGGCAGCCACGTTAAACAGTAATCTGTACAGTGGCATAATGTGCAGCCACTAAAACGAAAAATGTTCACTATGCACTAATACGGGACGACTTGTAAGATACCTTAAATGAAAAAAGGAATGGATAAAAAGAGCAGCGTTGGTCTGAGCTAGTTTGCATAAAACAAGTGAGGGGCTGGGATTGTCTGTGAGTGTGTGCACCAGCCACCTGGTAAGATGCATAAGTTGTCGACTGTGGTGGCCTCGTACAGAAGAACTGGAGCCCTGGGTACTGGGACAAGGGGGCAGAATTTACTACCATGTGCACAGGTTGGTTATTTTAAAAATAGGATGGTGAAGATCCAGAGATTCCACTTCTGGGAATATATCCAAAGAAACCAGAAGTGCAAATATGAAAGAACATATTCTTATGTTCATTGCAGTTTTATTTATAATAGCCAAGATTTGGAAGCAACCCAAGTGCCATCAGTAGATAAGTAAATAAAAAAGCTCTAGTATATTTGCACAATGGAATACTACTCAGCTGTAAAAGAAGAAGAAGAAGAAGAAGAAGAAGAAGAAGAAGAAGAAGAAGAAGAAGAAGAAGAAGAAGAAGAAGCGTACGAACAGATGGATGGACCTGGAGAGGATTATGCAAGAGAAGAAGCAAGAGAAAGAGAAGTACATATGATGTTCCACTTATATATGGAATTTTTTAAGTTGCTGCTTTAGAGGAAGAGAGAGAAACATAGATTTGTTGTTCCACTTATTTATGCATTCCTTGGTTGCTGCTTGTATGTGCCAGATCAAACCAGACACCTTGACATATCCTGAGGACACTAACCAACTGAGCTACCTGGCCAGTGCCTATATGTATTAAACAAAATAAACCAACAAACAAAATAAAAACAGACAGAAAGATACAAAGAACAAACTGACAGCTGTCAGAGGGGAGCTGGGCTTGGGAACCTGGGTGAAAAAGGTGAAGGAATTAAGAAGAAAACTCAGACAGACAACAGTATGGTGATTACCAGAGGGAAAGGGGGGTGGGGGGAGGTAGGAGAGGGTAAAGGGGGAATAAATGGTGATGGGAGGAGACTTGACTTGGGGTGGTGAACACATAATACAATATACAGATGATGTGTTATAGAATTGCACATCTAAAACCTACATAATTTTGTTAACGCAAGTCACCCCAGTAAATTCAATAAAAACTTAAACATTTAGGGCCTTAAAATACAAAAAATAAATAAATGAACAGAAATAAGATGGTGAAGATAATAAAATAAGAGCCCTCATGGGTCAGGTGCTGAGCCAGTGCTTGGTTTCAGCTCTCCTGCTAGGAGGTCTTACTTTCCCCTGTTGCTAGAGGAGGAAACAGGCCAAGAGGTTGGGGACCTTAGCAGTATCTCACGGCCCACAAGTGGGGAGGTTGGAATTTGAGCCCTGGAGGATTTAACACTAAGGCCCACAGTTCTGGCTGAGAAGCTTTTTGGTTAACCATACAGCAGCCAGCGTGAGACCTGGCACCCAGCAGATGTCCAGTAACTGTTTACGGGCTGTTAACTGACTAAACAAATGAAACAAACAGGATGAGAGGCAAACTTTGGAGCTCACATTCCAGACTGGAGTCCAAGACTTGCCCCTTTCCAGCCTTGACACTGTGGACCTGGCAGGTCCCTTTCTGAGCCTCCATGTCCCCACCTATAAAAATGACAACCACGACCATAGTGGCTGACAGAGTGCTCCCACCTGCCCTGCTCCGTGTTTTACATGCAGATTAGTTAGCCCCATTTTATAGATCAATGAGCAGAGCACAGAGAAGTTAAGAAAGCTGCCTCCAAAGGGTCCGCCCACAAAACCTCATTAGTCTGGTGAGGGTGACAAATCCAGCAGTTGACATCTGTGACGAGTGTCGTAGTGGGTCAGGCCTTGGGAGCACCTGGCTCAACCCTGGGTGAGTCAAAAAGGCTCTCAAAGGAGGTCCCGTTTAATCTGTGACTGAGGATCCATAGGTGTCTGGGAGGAGAAATGACAGGGCCATTTTCTGAAACATGAAACAGCAGTTTTGGGATGGTATTCTGCAAGAGGCACGGTGGTGTGGCACAGGAGCCCCTAAAACATGCAATACCTGACTATTCAGTCAGCGCGCTGATCTTTTTTCCTTTGATTGTCAAATAAAAATAAAACAACAGCCAACACAATAGCCATTTGGTATGAATGAATTGAAAGTATACCTATTTTTTGGTCAGATCAGCAAAAACTGTTTTTTGGAGTGCAGCGAAATGTTACTAATCAGTTTATCTGTGCCAGGAGACGATAATCGCTGGGCTAGAAGCTCAAGCAGAGACTTACTCATACCTGCAGGTAAATGGCACGATAGGAGACCATGCCGGTTAGAAACGTTCAGTCTGGCTCCTGTGTCAATTGCTCTTTCCTCCTGGAGAATTACTTCACATGGTAAAGTCTGTGGTTTCTCACCCCCCACCCCACACTTAACCTTCCATATCCCGAGGAGTAGAATGCCCTGATTTTATAGTCCGGGTGGGGCTAACAAAGGAACACAGGAAAGTTAAGAGCAATGAGGAAGCCCTTCACACTGATGGCCCCCCCACCCCATTCATTCGGCCCCCAGAAGGGCAGTCCAGTTGCTGGCACTCTGCCCAGGGGAATGAAGATGGCCGCACAGGAGGCCCCTGGCTGTGTATGCTCACCTGGGTTCTTAGGTTGCCAGTGTGCCTGGATGTCCGGCTGGGTATGGCTCCTCTCTTTTGGAGCCAGCAGGCCAGAGCCACGCCAGCTGCAGTGGGAAAGGAGCTCTTGGGGCACTGCCAGCTCCCGAGGAAATTTCCCCAACGCTCATCCTACTTCCTCATTCTAGGACAGTGGTCCAAGCATTAAATTCACCAACGGCGTCCTTCTGTGCTTTTCTAGGGACTCTGATTCCATAAGTCATTTCCCTGCATTGGGCCTCAGTTTCTCCATCTGTAAAATGGATATGACTCTCTCTAATGTTCCAGGCACTAAACATATATACATATGTTGTTCCTTATGTGTAAAACTGCCCTAAAGGGTGAGATTTCAGTTTTGGATCTGGGTTCCATGCAAGGAGGAGTAAGGAGGGGGGTACTTGCTTTGTGTCTCACTTAGAGTCCCCATCCACAAACCCCGCTTACAGGCCTGGGAGCCTGCAGCCTGGGCTCCAGAAGTCACTTCCCCTTTGCCAATTCCAAACCCAGGGAGACCTGAGTAGAACCATTAACAAGTTTTTACCTTACATGTCTTATAGGGGCTCTGTTTTTAGATTCTCCCCTTGCCACCCCCCCCCCAAAGAAAAAACAAACCAGGACTCATTTTCTAACAAGAGATTTTGTTGTCCTGCTTGGTGTACTACTTTTTACGGAAAGCCTTATAAGTTTAACTATTCCAGCATATTGTTAGTACAGGTTACCGTGGGCCAGGACCTGTGCTAAATGCTTTCTGTGAATGATTACCTTGTTATTGTCCCCGCTGTACAAGTGAGGAAACTGAGCCTAGAGAGGACCAAAGTCCTGTAGCTACTTCACGGTGGAGCTGGGATCATTTTATCCAAGTCCAAGTCAGAGTCCAAGCTTTCATCATCTGTGATTGTTCAAGTAACAGACCGGCCTTGCCGAACCCGGTCCTGCCCCCCAGACCCTTCTCCAAAGGTGCCGAGGTTGGTGTTTTCTCAGCTACTGGGAAGTGCCTGGCATTTTGAGCCCAGGGTCACTATACCTCCTAGGCACTGGACAGAGAGGCCCGATACAGAACTGACTCGCTGCAAACACGCAGGGTGCTTCTATGAGAAATAGTAAAATCAAATGTTCTTATTGCATTGAGTTGGCTTTGGTGATGTGGAGCCAGCCTGCAAAGCCAAAATCACCTTGCCTGTCCTTGCAAACTGCCATGCAGAAAGGAAGGTGGATGAGACATGGTTGCTGTCCCCAAGGGCTGATGGTTTCCCGCAGGCTGGTGAGCAGGTAGAGGCAGCAGCACCCACCTCCTGAAAGAGGGACTTTTGGGGAGTTTGGACTTTGGAAACAGGCAGACCAGGGCCTGAATCCCAGCTCAGGCTCTTGCAGCTGAATGAGCTTTGTTTAGCCTCCTCTTGGGAGATACTAGGGATAACGTCTTCCTAGTAGACTGTCGTGAAGATTAGAGAATTTAGCACAGAGGTCAGGCACATAGTAAGTTCTCTCTGAGTTCCGAGAAGGGCCCAGGTGGACACAGAGGGCTGCAGAGAGGAGGCAGAGCTGGGGCTAGAGCCTGCCGGGGGAGTGGATTAGGGGGCATGGCTGGCAGGGGTACAGCCTGAACAAAGGTGGGCGACGTCTGTTCAAAAGCAAAGGATTTGTGTGTTCAGACAAGGAGAGAACATGGAAACTGCAGAGTCTGGATCCAGGCCTGTTCCAAACCCCAGGCTGAGGAGGCTGTTGCTTTTATCTGGTATCAATTCAGGGACGTGGCAAGGCCTGTCCAACTGCGGGGAGGCATAGTTCACATCAGAGTGTCAGTCACTGAGGCATTTGCCTGGAAGTCTTGCACCTCTTGGTCACCAGTCATGGTGCCTTCTGGCCAAGAAGGTGGCCAGTAGC